ATGTGTAAGATTTGAGATCATCCATATAATCTTTGGTGCGGAAGCGTAATTGGAATTCTTGAAACAAGAATAAAGTTTAAAACTAGAAATTTTGTAGGGTACAATTTTGTTGTATTTAATTGATTGAAATTGATGATTGACTAGTGCACCAAGCTTTTGTTATATAGGAAAAATAATTCCCTTATATTACTAATAAAAGTAAACTAAAGTAACATCTTAATTGAAAGAAGAATAAAATCCTAATCGAAAAGAAAGAAGAAATCATGTTTTAATCAAGAAAGAAAAAGAAATCCTATTCTAAATAAGAAAGAAAAAAAAAAAAGAAATTCTAATCTACATAAAAAAGAAGAAGAAAAGAAGGTAAAACTAATCCTATTTGGAAAGGATTGTCCTACATTATTCTCTCTCACTTGAAAAAAACATGTCCTCTAGTTTGCTTAAAGAAAGAAAATCATTCAATTGGGACGAAAATACTAATTTTTTTTTTTTTTTGCCACTTGTAATATTGATATTGAAATAATGTCAATTTCTTGATTTGCTCGATAAAGGTCACTATATTCTTGAGTTACGTTGGTTGAAGTCAACTTTGCTCCAACCTTGTTGAAATATTTTATTAAGAGGGTATTTGAGCCCCATTTTTATGAAAAATGCATTTTAGAATAGTAGAAAATGGGAAATGTGTGGTTGAAAAATAAGGAAAAGTTTTTGATTTATGTATAATATTATTTTAATGAATAATGTGTGATTGAAAAGAAAGGAGAGAAAAATGTATTTTGGGAAGAATGGGAATCAAACAAGGTCTTAAAATGAAAGACATTCCAATGAGTACTAACTTCATACTTACCCATTTTCTTCATCTTTTTCATTACATTCTCTATTTCTCTTGTTCGGGAATAGACACAACAAGAGCCACATGGTATTGTATTGTAATCAAAATAACCTCATTGTAATTGTCATATTTGGCCTCAAGTTTACAAGCCCATTGCTTTGCATCTTCTAGAAGCCCACTCCGAAAGATGGCTGAAATCATAGGCTCGTGTTCTCAATTTGCACACGCTTTTCTTTTTTCGTTGTAGTATCATGGTCAATAACATCCCGATCATTTTGAATGGCATCTCTTTTAACCTCATCATCTACTTTATAAATTTTTTGCTCTTTATTTATACTAGTATTTGCAAATTGCTCGTCACGTAACGCCAAAACAATCTTCTTATTGTACGACCAAAACTCATACATGTTATCTCAACCTATGTAAGTGGCATTTACATCTTAGTAACATGGTTGTCCTTAAAATACACGACAATCATCCATCTTTACCACATTATGCACAATCTCATTTTTATAGTACTTTCCTATAGAAGTGTAATTTCTCATACCTCCATATTTTTGAATTTCTTGCTCCATTTTAAATTGTAGAACCTGCCAGCAAGATTAATATTTTTGATTTTTCAAATATAAAGCTTTCACCAATACTTTAGAAACAAAGTTCTTACTGCTCCCATATCTATTGTCACATTACATACGTTGTTGATGGTGCATCGTGTTCAAAAAGTCTTGTCGTGCTTCAAATTGAGCTCTTTTATATCTCTCTAGTCAATCATGCTAATTGTACAATATTTTTTTGGATAAAGATGAAGTGACCGAATGCTTGATAGAAGGGGTGACCGACCTTCACATTTTGTACGTGGGTCTCGCGTGAATTAAAAATGCCGACTTTCCATGTGTGTGTTTGGTCATCCCCTATGTTAGTGTAGCAAAACACAAATTTTTTTTTTTTTTTTTTTTTTTTTACAATTTTGGTTGACAACACACACTTGGCAACGCCACATTCATCTATTTAAAAAATTATTTTTTAAATCAATGATTCAGAATTATCAATAAAAATGTACAAATAGCTTTATTCCTCCCTAGTAGACCTTCGTAAAATCCATGATAAATTGTGTATATAAACTTAGCTGGAAAGCTAAGAAATTCTCTAATCACCTGTTACCGTGTTTTGAGCTTGTTGAAGCTACCATCATTCATAGCAGTCAAAGTCCGCAAAGTATTGTGAGCTGCATCTTCGAACATGTCCATCATTTGTTCCAAATTTTGAACCAATGTTGGTAATTTTTAGTCCTCCGATCATCGTCAGAGCTTGCATACCAATAGCACCATAATTAGCCATCGGCCAAGGGCAAAATATGGCTTTGATACCAATTTTGGTGCATAAATGGAATTAGAATTTTTATAACAAGAATAAAGTTATAAAACTAGAAAATTTGTAGGGAATAATTTTATTGTATTGAATTGATTGAAAAATGTACAAAACCTTTGTTTATAAAGGCAAAAACAATGCTTTAATCTTACTAATATAAAGAAACTAAACTAAAATCCTAAAAGGAAAGAAAACTAAAATCATATTCTAATCAAGAATGAAAAAGAAATCCTATTCTAAGTAAGAAAGAACAAAGAAATTCTATTCAAAATAAGAAAGAAAAAAAAAAATGGGAAAACAAATTCTATTTGGAATAGGAATGTCCTGCATCAATCTTCTTCTTCATAGTGAAATCCTGCAGTAATGAGTGAATTTAGCATTGGAGGTGAAATTTGTATGCATTTTGCTTATTTTCTTTTCCTTTTCTCCTAAATGAGGATTATGACTGAATCCATAAATGTCGGTAATATTATGTGGATGTTTGGTGGGGATTTTGAAAATTGATTTTTTGACTGTTAGAGATTAAGTAGATCTATCTGTGAGAGAATAATTCAAAAATGACGGCTGGAATAATGAAATAACAGTTAAAAAATTTATTTTAATTTGCTTAAAATCATTACCAAACAAGCTCTATAATGTGTATGTTGCAATTCATTTGCAATTTGCTATCTACTGCAATCCATCCAAGTATATATAGGTACAAATTTGTTCTTATTCATAGTAGACTAAGGAAGGTTTGGGTATGGCAAGATTGGAACTCGTCAAATAGCTTTTGAACAATTGTTCAGACTTGGTTTTTTGGTATATTTTGTATTCGAATGTGTGGAGCCTATATTATTGCACATTTATCCCTTGAAAGTGGATCGTCCTAATATTAGGCATTTGGTATGTATATTAGATTGCTCTAATAATTCCTCATCTAAAAAGGATTATTTGGAGGCCGGGGTGGGGGCATTTTCTGTGGGAGTCCCGAGATTATCCATATTATCTTTTTCATGGTGAAGTCCTACAGTAGTGAGTGAATGTAGCTCACACTGAGAGGGAACTCTCTGTGGTTTGTTTAATTTCTTTTCTTTTATTGTTTTCCTAAATGGGAATTAGGGCAGATCATAAATGTTGGCAATATTTATATTATGTGTGCTGCAACTCAATTTGCAATTTGCCAGTAATGACAGCAATTTTTTTGGCTGATCAATGCAGATGGATAATGGACAGCCGTGATGAGTACACAAAGGAGCGCCTAGATGCTGTAAACGATGAGTTCAAACTCTATCGCTGCCATACTATTTTGAATTGTGCTAAAGCTTGCCCGAAGGGACTGAATCCCGGACTGCAAATTCAGAACATCAAGAAACTCGAGCTTACAAGTTAACAAGTTCCTCAGAAGTATGGAAATGCGCACAGCTTTGGGCACGGATTATTATTTAGGACAGATTGAATATTAACTTTCTAAGATCCTTTTGGTGTACCTCAAGAAGCAGGTATAGTTTCAATAATAATGTTAGCTGAGCTTACTTTTCCAAATTTTGGGTAGACGGCGTTACATAGTAATGATAAAAACATGCCATCCTTTATGTGATAATATGCTGTATGGACATGATTGTGTGTAGTAATTTTTCCTTGAGATTAGTTGGCAGAGATTCCTATCGTTAAGACTTGACTTGGGCCGACACAGCGATTGCTGGAAAATTTCAGTTTGTATGTGATTTATTCCTTTCATTCATTAATATAGTTCTAGCTCTGCAATAGTATTTGCTTTTATCGGGTTTGATCTTTTGTCCATAGTGGACAGAAGTCATAATGCCCACTATGTATGTAGTGTTGCCATATCATACCCTCATTGCTGACATGGCAAGATGTGTTGCCACACTTACAGTGGACAGTATAATTATTGTCCAATGTGGGTAGAAGACCAGGTTTGCTGCTTTTATAACTGCGCGTGTTTTTTTTTTTTTTTTTAATACAATTTTGATAAATGGGTGGTAGCGAGACTGACTACAAATGCTCTCATGTTCAACCACTTAACGAGTATTTAAAAGAAACACAAAATTATTTATTGAATTTAGCATTTATAAAGTTGCTTCCTGCTGCCTAAAGGCTAAAGTCATCCATTGAACTGAATAAATGCATTTACAGTTAGATTAGCAACAAATATCCTATTCATTCCAGTTTCACTTCTTAAAACAGTATATATGTGTCCCACGAAGAATCACTAATCAAATCCAGGCAAGAAAACATGACAGAAAATCTAAGGAGAAGTTTTGTTCTAATGATGCTAATTGCAGACTCCTCAATTTTCTTTGCAGGCCAGCCAGTTTGCTTTTTCATTGCTTTAGTACTTGATATTCGAGTGTCTAGTTCTGTGATCAAGCCTACCCTTCTTTGCAATATTGTTGTATTTAAAAGTTATTTTTAAAAAAATAAAATAAAATAAAATAATAATAATAAAGACTTCATTCTTGAAAAGTAGCTTTATTTTGGCAAAATAAGTAAATAGAAGTGATAAAGCATGCCATTGTCCCTAATTCATGTAACAAAAGCACATTTGATTGTACTTAAAAGTTGTTTTTCTACCAAAATAAGTAAACTTGATTCCTAGAAAAGTAAGCTTTCTAGCATAATAAGTAGCTTATCTTTTCATTTTTTAGAAGAAAGAAAGAAATGGTAGGTATAAACAGTCTAAAATGACATTAGTGTGCTTATTCATGGATAAAGTTTTAAGATAAGTCAATGTTGTTTTAAAAACATCGATAATTCAGAGACAACAACGAATATAACTTAAAAGTTGTTTTTCTACCAAAATAAGTAAACTTGATTCCTAGAAAAGTAAGCTTTCTAGCATAATAAGTAGCTTATCTTTTCATTTTTTAGAAGAAAGAAAGAAATGGTAGGTATAAACAGTCTAAAATGACATTAGTGTGCTTATTCATGGATAAAGTTTTAAGATAAGTCAATGTTGTTTTAAAAACATCGATAATTCAGAGACAACAACGAATATAAAATAACATTGTTTTCAAATTATGTCACATTGTTTTCAAATTATATCATTTTTGATTTTGAAAATTAGAATTACAGCAAATTAAAACCTTGTTAGTTCTTCCAATTATAGAAAAACCATGTTCGTCTGCGTGATTAAATATTGCAGTAGACGATGATTCAATGTGTCATGAAACAAACGAAATTTCCCCATAGTTTCGAAAATAACTGCAGAACCTGACTGATATATTATAAACTTCAAATTTGTACTAGTAAATACTTAAAATCATACAGTAGACTCTACTATACTTTTTTCGACATATGGAATCTCGAATACCAACATTCCTTTTATACAGGAAGTCGAATGCCTGCTGCTGCTATAATATCTGATTGTAGAAGGATGTTGAAAGAGAAGGTGGCACTGAAATAGTGCTTTGTCCGTGCCTTGCTTCAGCAAGTTCTTCCAAGTAAGCTGACAGACTGAGATTGACTCTGCAAGAAGAGATGATCAGTTACGTTCGAATTTTGTGTTCAAGGATGAAGAATACAGCCGTCTATGTGAATATTAGTCGAATCATCATGACCTGAATTGGAAATACATCCTGTGAAGCAGCAGAATATAACATTTGAGGCCATATGAAATGAAGAAATGTTCAATAATACCATCAGATAAAGGAAAGATATACCTTTTTCATCTGAAGAGTTGATGTTTGTAGAAATCAGGCTTTAAAGCAAAAGATATGATGTGCTTTTCTAAATTTTCTTCTGGTTTTCTCCTGCAAAAAACAAAAGATCTTTCAAATATAAGGGAATGGCCAACTATAAGGTTCATTGAGACCAAACGCAATCACATGACAGAAAATCTGTGTCAAGAATTTAATTAATCCTAAATTCTGTTCGTGGCTGCACCTTTGGCATCTCCTCGGTATTGAATTTATCATTGAGTTTCTGCAAAGAAGACGCCGCAAGAAAATGTACTAATTCAGTTCAAAAACGCATCAAAATTAGGCTCAGGCTAAAGAAACAGAATCTGTGGAAAATCTTGCCTGTTCTCTGTCGCCAACTCTTTCTAGACGAGCAATCAGGGACTTGGAGCGGCTGGCAAACAAGTATATTGTAAGAGATGAACCAGTGGCATTGTCAAACATACTGGAAAAACATATGTAGAGACTCTTCGATTCAATTCATCATCAAGATTATTTTCTTAGAGCAAGTCTGAAGTTCGTCACTAAAACGTTTTTCACATTACTTATCCATAATTAACACTATTAAGTTCATCATTCAGAATGCATCTAATTGTTTTCCTTTTTCTGAAAACTAAACGACGTACCTTTTCTGTCCACCTTGTCAATTTCTATCACCTTTAGCAAAGATGTGTCCACCTTTGGTATATCATTAATCTCTGATCCAGTAACAGTGTCATTGTTTTCAAGATTATGAACCTGATTCATCAAAATTTTCTTCACAGGAGTCTCCATCAAGGCTTCTTTTTCTGTCACCAGGGCCGTTTGATCCAGCTTGACACTTTCTACTTTATCTAATTCAACCTTTTCAACATCTTCTTTATGCTGAATTAGACAAAATTATTAGAGGAAAAAGTAATTATATCTTATCCTTGTAGTTGTAATCGCACAATACTGTGTACCTAACGAGTTCTTACATCGTCTACCTCTTCTTCTGGGATCTTTTGTTCATCAGCAGAATTTTCTTGTTCCAACAATGCTGCCGCCTTTTGAGCTGCAATTCTCTTGTAATGAGCCTCGAAAAAAGCCTTCTTCTGGGCTACTGATCCGGGCTGTGAAGACCTCTCGGCCTCTTCAACGTATTTCTTGTGAGAAAAGGTCGACCATTTTTCCCACGACAAGGATTCGGACATAAACCTTCCAAAAGAAATCGAGTCCTCAAGAGCAAGCGCGGGGTTCCCCTGGAATACATACCCCTTTAACTTTCCTTTTTCACAGAATCAAACTTTCAAGATGTCACCTATTAAGTACTAATCGTCGAAAAAAGAAAAAATTACGCTTAAACTTTATAGCAGTTCACAGACGATGTTAGAGTTATGTCCACTAGCCGCTGCAGGTTTTCTCATACATCTTATACCCCAAACCGAGCTGGCTTGTAAAAAATCCTCTATAGTTAGAATATTAGGTCGATTCGAAGTCGAAGAGAAAATCAACACTGCAATTAGACTGTGGCTGTCTAACACAAGAATCTGTTAATCTAATCACAAAACAGCAATCTCCATCTATAAGAATCAGGATAAAAGTCCAACAATATTAGGTTGATCCACAGTCCACAAGAGTGCACAGTATAATTAGACTCCACACAGTCCAATACAAGAATCTGGATCCTAACTAAATGAATAGCAAATTTCATAAAAATAGAAATAAAAAAAGACTTGGTTTTGTATTCTTTACCTGTTTGGCTTCATTGGATAAATCTGAAGCATAAGGGAAGGCAAGAATGACAGCTGAGTCCCCCATGCTATACCAGGTTGAGAAGAAACCTTCAACGTTTGGAAAACAGAATCAGAGAAAAAATCTGAACTTTTGTTTTAGCTTTTTTATGGCTTATAAGTTATTTCAAATTTGAAATTCAAAACGAAAAGAAATAGACAAACGTTGTAAACAAAGTAGGCCACAGAAGGTATGCTGCCAATTGTTCAATTCTTGGTTGTTGCTTCTTCTTTTCAAACTGCAATGGTCCACTTTATTTGAAAATAATTGATTTTTTAAGCTTCTACTTTTTTATTTTTATTGGAATATCTTAGAAAATGGTGTTCGGTGCCCATAATTCATGATTTTGCTTTAAAACAATATACATAAATTGTATTTATTATTTTTTCTTATTTGGATTGTGCCATGTTGGGGGTGGGTTAGAGTAAAAGAGAGAGGGAGTGAACATGAACTAGAAGCATTCTCAATACAGTATTGGTGGAATTTGATATAACAAGCTATCTAACTCTTTGTTATAACATCTAATCATAGTATGGCACATTACTTGTCTCAGTTATAGACATTATTATAAAATAAAAATAACTTATAAATTATATATTTTAATATTTATCAAGTTCAATACTGCGTATCAAATGTACATTTAGGGGCGTTTGCTTTTCATTTTTGTAAAAATGAGAAGGAAAGATATAGCCTTTATGAGCCTCACATAAGAGATGGAAATTCAAATTTGATGGGTTAGTGTGATGGATAAAAATTATATTTTTCATTTTAATGAGGAAAGATTGTGAAACAAAAGGGGCTTAATGATTTAGGGATTTTCTAGATATATATTGGGCTGCATGCTGATTTTTGGACTTTCATAGGTCATTCTCATTTTTCTAAAAATTCATTTTTTCGAAACTCATTTTTAATGACGCATTTTTCAATGGAATAATATTACATTCAAATTAAACTTATCCTTAATTTTTTATCACACATTCTCTATCGATCTATTATTCCAAAATGCATTCTTTCTCCAAAATATGGCTTAAACGAAGGCCTAGTTTTGTGTTTGTTTGAGCCCATTTCTTTCGAAAAAAAATACATTTTTAAATAATGTTTTGATATTATTTTAATCATATATCTTTTCATAAAATAATATTACACGTAAATTCAAAATTTTTCCTTATTTTTTAACCACATATTTTTCATCAGTATAATATTCAAAAATTCATTTTCTCAAACAAGGGCTTAATTACATTAAATAGTAACTAACAAATGATTATTTTTTATAACAATTAGTACCAAATTTCTGACTAATAAACAAAAATTAAAAGTCGACCATACCAAATTTGCATAAATAACTGTAATACTGATGCTTATAAAAACTCCAAATTATATTATATACTCAATTTAATGTGGAATTAATTATTATTATTATTATTGACTAATCTTTTGACATCCATTTAATCATATAGACACGTGTGCAACATCATAGTGGATTAGGAGAGAGAGAATTAGAAAGGATAGGATTAGAAGGATTGTATTAACGTTGATAGGGTAGGAGGGGTACATTGTTTCTGATACTACATCGTATTATAAGATCGTATAAGTAATAAAAAAAATTTAAAAATTATGTCAATATTTTGCTATAAGAGTTTTTTAATTTATTAAGTGAATTTTTTACTTATAATTTTTTTATGTAATTTTTTTTTCTCACAAGTGGATTTTTTCTTACGAGCAAATTCTTTACATATAAGTGATTTTTTTTTTTTTTTTGTAATTGCATTTTTTAGTTATAATTATAAATAAAATTTTAGCCTATAAGTAATTTTTTTTTAACTTATATGTAAAAATTACCATATAAGTGAATTATTTATTTATAAATAAATATTTTGGTCATTAATCTAGTTATAAGTAAAATATTTGTCATTTAGCCTCTGTTTGTCTCCATTTAAAAAAAAAAAAGTCCTTTTTTTAATACTCATTTTCAATCACATTTTCACAGAATAACATATTTTGTATGTAAATCATACCTTTGTCCTACTTTTTAACAACACATTTTTCAAAAAATTAATATTCAAAACATTATTTTTTTTCTCAAAAACTCTTTGAAAAGGAGACAAATATGGGCATATTTTTCAACTTATAAGTAACTTTTTATTTATATAAGCATTTTATAACTCATATGTTAATTTTGACTCATAAGTAATTCTTTTACTCGTACATGAATTTTGTACTTATAAAGTTAATGTTAACTCAATTACACATTTTTTTACTTGTTATTATCATTACTTTACACATAAGTTTTCAACTTAATAATATATTTTTTACCTTTAAGTAATTTTTTTCTTATAAGCGATTATTTTAGTTATATTGTTTTGATTACTAGTGAATTTCTTAGTTCTTATTTGTAAATAAATTTATGTAATTCGATTTAATTAGTACTTTACTAATTCATAAATTTATAAGTAAATAATACAGTCTAAACTCACTATACAATGTGTATCAATTTTACATTGAATAGAAGAGGATAATCAACTCAAACTAATTTAATCCGGATACTAATTGCATTAAACACTGGATGAAGATTAGATAAGATTATTTTAATTCTTAGATAAGATTATTTTAATTCGTATACTTTCATATAAAGCGCAACAAACGTGTCCATAGTGCTTATGATTTTGATAATTAGTCCGTATCTATAAATAAAAATTTTGTTTTAACTTTTATGTATTTTTTAAGAGAGATGCTATTTATCGATTGATAATGGTCAACCGTCCATATATCTATTATGGCCTCATTTGGAAGTGATTTTAAGAATTGATTTTATAACCGTTAGGAAAAAAGTGGGGCCCATCTGTGAGAGAAGAAATCAAACTTTACTGATGGAACAGTGAAATAATGGTCAAAAAATCAATTTTTTAGAATGAAAAATCACTCTCAAACAAGTTATATGTAATAGTGTGGCGTGATCATGGTTTTCAAACCTTCAAAATTATAGTTTTAGGTACCCATTCTTTTTAATGGTCCCCGTGCTATTGAAACCATCAATGTGGAAGATAAAATTGTATGTGATTTTCTTATTACATAAATCAAAGAATAAAACTGCCAAAACCTCTTAACATGTTTCTCTAATTCAATTCGAAGCTTCGTGTTATTTCATTTCAAAATTGATGATTGCAGTTACATGGAGACCCAAATTCATACATTATATTAGGTTGGGGACCAAATACTATTTGAAGGTTAACGACCCATAACCACACAAAATAAAATTATTTGGGAGCTCAACCTTAATTTTCCTTAAAGAAATAAACTTGCGTTTCACAACCAAAATAATAATAATAATAATAAAGTTATAGGTAACCTTTTAGGATAACCAGACATGCTCTCAAATGTAATCTTCTTCAGGGGCGGAGTCAAGAATTTTGTCCAGTGCGGACAAAATTTAGTCAATGTCAGACTTTTCGATTATGGATTTAATAATATTACAATAATGCTAAAAATGACATAGTGACAATACTAATAAGATTATCATTTTCTTCCTTATTCTAGGATTTGTAGCAAATTGTGTAACATCAAAAATCAATTTTATTCGATATCTCCTCATTAACATTTTCTACGAAATATTTTTTTTTTAAAGAATCTCTCCATTGACATTTCACACTAAAATAAACCACAAGTGATAGTTAAATACTAATTGATAAGGAAATAATTACAATTTTTTACAAATTGGTAGAACACCAGAAAATCATCACTAAGGGTGTGTTTGATTACATTTATTTTTCATGAAAAATTTCAATTTTCCACTCAAATTCCTACTTGGAGTGTTTGATTGCTATTTTTTTCCATAGAAAACATTTTCCAACTTTTAAAAATATACCTAATTTTCCTTGTTTTTAAGGAAAATATTTTCCTTGGATAAAGGTGATTTTTATTTTCCACAAAAGATGGAAAATATTTTCTTTTCTATGTGATATTTTTCATGTCAATCAAACACATTCTAATTGTTTGACTAATTGACAAAAATCAAGATTTTAAGAATCCATCACAAATATTACCAATATTCAATATTCACATAATCATAATCACTAATATTAAATAAAAAAAAAATCGCATGATCAAGAAACTTTTTGCTGTAAATTTGAGAGCCCAAGGAAACGTGGATTTTAAGAAAGAAATGAACTTTGAAAATATTTCAAAACGATGGTAGATTAAAGGAAATTTTTTAATTTCTTGTCGATGGGAAAGAGTTAGAAAATGTCACCGTGCACTTGGAGTTGGG